ATTAGTTGCCAAAGCTTTTAAAAGTCGATTTCTATCGATTTTATCGATTCGTTGTTGCAGCCCTAGTTGCAGGGTTGAGCATGTGCATTTTTTTTTTAACTTGTGAGGGCGGGTCTTTTCAAAAATTCGTGAAAATCCTCAACTATACCTTTAACTAGTTAAACGTAACAGTAACTGAGTTGGTAACAGTCCAAAAAAGTAACAATGCAGTTAATTTTAATGATCTAAAGTCTCTTTCCTGTTATTGGAATTTGTATAATGAAATATAAGAAGTTTGATTTTGATCGACCTATATAATAGATTAAAATGGCGACACATCTGAAAACATGGACCTAAAAATCTGTTCCATGTTGACGAGTTTGGTTGGAAACGTGGGCAACAATATAATTATGTAGATAGGATGATGTTTTTACTTTATGATTAAAGAGGAATAAAGCAGGTTAGATGTTTTAGAACTTTATATTTTTGCTCTTTGATGACGTTTAATGTGTTATAAAATGTTCATACAGTCAGTGCTTTCAAAGAAAGACTGACTTAAACTCTCCTTTCTTGCTGAAAATTATTACAATTTTTAAAAAATATTTTTAATTCGAACAGAATTCTTTTTTAAAAGTTTTTTACTGAACTCTATACCAAAAGAAATGTGCTTGATTTAAAAAATGCTTATTTTAGTGCTGAGCAGGTAAGAAAAAAAAAACACGCTCTGCTATCAAATGCAGTCTGATTCCAATGTCGAGCCCTGGTTGTCGGTTCGATATCTTCCTGACCGCTGCTCTGCTAGTACTGCAATCACTGCAGCTGCCACAGCCTGATGGTCAGAAGACATCAAAGTTAAAACGAAGGGTCTCCTTAACCCCACCCCGCTGCGTGGGAGACATTTTTATCCTCTCTTTGTCTCATGATGTCCATGTGCCACCATTCCAGGTGCAGGTCGGCGTCTCTTTGAAGGCCTGGCCTTTGTGCCTGTGCCCTTTAATGTGCATCTGCCAGCTGAGCAGCTTAAACCCACTTTAAAACAGCAATGATGGGATACAGTACACATACACACACACACACACCGCGGCTGGAGAAATGCTTATTTCTCTACCTCCTGTCACTTCCAATGTATTCCACTTTATTTCACATTCAGGTGGAGTAGATCTGTTGGTGTTCTTTATGTCTGCACTCCCTCAGTGAGTCTGGGAAGTTCAACCAACAGGAATATTTAATGTTAACCTTCTGAAATGCTTTTGTAAATGATTTACCGACAGATATACCAGAAGATGAGGCTCAGTATTGGACGGGCAAGCTTGAACGCATCAACATGGGAATCCACGACGAGGTAAAATGTTGCTTCTGTCTTTTAGAAGAAGCTCAGATTCATTGTTTTTTTTAATTGCTAACTAATGTTCAGAGGTTCCAGCTTCCTGCTTAGATCTTTGGTTTCTGGTCTGGATTCTGATTTTGGAAAGTTTATTCAGTTTATTTATTTAGTTTACTTATATAGCGCCAATTCATATCACATGTCATCTCAAGGCCCTTTGCAATTCAACCTGATCATCCAGTCGGATTTATTCAATTTTCTATCTAAGGAAAACCAGCCGATTGCATCAACTCATTGACTCGAAGGCAATCCCTCACACCCAAGCATGCATGTAGCGACAGTGGAGAGGAAAAACTCCCTTTTAACTGGAGGAAACCTGCAGCAGACTCAGGCGTGTTTGGTGCTGGAGGTTTCCATCTATCTTAGTAAAATAAATAAACCACATGTTAGTTTCAGTTTATTTGTATAGCACAAATTCACAACTGTCAGGCTGGTTAAAACTTTTCAATCTAAGGGAAAACCTGCTGTTTGCATCTAGTCATCGACGTTTCAGGATTCACAACTCCAGTATGAGCATGTAGTAACGGTGGATATATGCTTGCATTTTGTTGATTCTGATACCAAGCATGCATACAGTTACAGTGGAGAGGAAAACTCTCTTTTAACAGGAACAAACCTCAATCAGAACCGGGCTCGGTGTGAGCGGCGTTCTGCCGAGGCCGACTGGGGTTCAAGGAGGCCGAAACAGAAATACAGAATGAACAAAGAAACACTGATCTTAAAATACATTCTATGATAGAAAAGGTAACTAGCTTCAGCGGTGGCTCTGTATGGAAAAAAAAAAGAGTTAAGCAGATGAGATCTGAGACAGTTCTTCTTCTTCTCTATGTCTAGAATAGAAACAGGACTAATCATTGAAAAAAGGCTCAACTCTATCATCTATAATTATAGGTGTTAATGGCTAGCCTCGTGAGACCATCCTGATCTCGCCAGCTTTCAAGATTTCACTCGCAGATCAGTCTGG